CCAGCTGCAGCAGATACCCTGCCCTGGGGGGTGTCCCTGGGCACAGAGCGGCCAGAGAGCTGGGACCCCATCCCTGTAAGCAGGGGTCCGCCAGCTAAAGCCCCTCTCATTCCCTGTGCATTTAGGGAGCCCAGCTGAGAAGGCTGCTCTCAAAGCTGGAGACCGGATCCTATTCCTCAACGGTCTGGACATGAGGTAAGAGGCTCTTTAGAAGACCTGTGCCAAGGGGTCCCGGGGGGTGGTAGGTGGTCAAGCACATGCGTGTTCACTCTTGTGCAAAAAAAAAAACCCGAGAGCTGGTCATCCTTGAGAGCTGCCCACTGAGGTGTGCAGGGGTTGTTGACCCATATTGACATCTCCTTTAATATTCTTTTACAAAAACTGGCTCTAAGAGTAGTATTTTGACTCCATCCCTGCTCCTCCTTTGACTTCTCTGTGCAAATAACCACATATAATGCATGACACACTGTATATAACTGGTGTCCTGACTGCAGCCCATCCGCAGACCCTGATTTGAGCCACTGTGAGTTAAGTTGTATGAGTTAAACACCTGGGGTTCTGCTTTTGAAAGGAGCAGAGCATCAGCCAGCCCACAAATCACTCCCAGAACGGGATCATAAGTTTAAAACCACATGGGCAATTGCATTTCCACCCAGAAGTTAATCCTTCTATATATTATTTGCGCACAACAAAAGCACTCAAACCAGAGCTGAGTGTGCACCTTGCTGGTGCAGTGGCAGCAGCCCGTATTTCCTTGGGTTGGTCTTTCCGCACAAAAAGCGAGAGCAAAGGGTTAGAAGAGGCTACACAATAAGAAAGTGATGAATATTTAAAGGTTAAACATCTGATGCTGCTTCTGTCAGTGCGCAGGTTCTCACATTTCAGCTGATCCAGCAAACCGCTGGCTGATGCAGCATCGCCAGAAGGTAGAGGAGACAGAGTTGAAGATTGTCCTCTGAGCCTGCGTTTTGGCAGGCGTTGTCCCAGGCCGGCCCGTACCCCTCTCCAAGGACACTCCAAGATTCCCCCCCAAAAATGCATTTTACATCCACCTTGCATTTTTTTTCCATGCAGAATTAGGACAGGCAAGGAGAGACCCGCAGCACTGTATCATTTAAATGGAAAGTTCATCTTCTGGGTCTGAGCGTAGCTTGAAGCAACGCCAGCTTCATTTGCCGTAACTGCTCCGCAGGGTGCTCGCAGGCATGCCCTGCAGTTATTCCTTGCTGCAGGTACAGCGGAGAGCCCAGTCGCAGGGGGTGACTCACGCTCTCCCTTGGCGAGGCTCTTCTCCAAGCAGCATAAAGCCAAGCACAGATTGAGAGTCCAGGGCAATTGCAGCGGGGCCCAACACTGCCTGGCTCCGAGCAGCGAGATGAGGCTTTTTGCAAGATAAATGAAGCCAGCTGCAGACTCCATTTCACCGCTGCTCTCCTGTCAGCCGCTGCCTGCAGTGCTGCCGGTACAGGCAGGCAGCCCAGCAGCTCTGACCCGGGCTCTCCTGTGCCCCGCAGGAACTGCTCCCATGACAAGGTGGTGTCGATGCTGCAGGGCAGCGGGGCGATGCCCACCTTGGTGGTGGAAGAGGGGATCGTCAACTTCTCCAACGGTAAGAGTGCGGGGAGGAGAGGGCCCGGAGTGGCAGAAACCCCACGCCAGCTCCTGAATTCCCCACGCAGGAGGGAATTGCCCAATACCTCCCGTAGGCTCAGCAGGTTTAACACACTGCCTGGAGCCTAACGCTGCTCTGCGCTGCCTGGAGGGCTGCTCCACTCACCAGGGCACATGGCTGCCCGCTTTCTGGGATCAGGCTTGATCTCAGGCTTGGCTGCTCTCCAGAAGGGTTCATCCTACTGTATGATCGTCCTTGACAGCCCTTGCCAACGTCCTTTACGTGCAGTCTGTGCTGTGTACTTGACCGAAGTAATCCAACCCTGTGCATCCATGGTCGCTGAGCAAATCCCATGGTTGTGTATGGACTGTGCTGTTAGAATAACTGCTGCTGTTATGAATAATTTAGCTTGCTGCTGGCGAGTGAGTCAGCTGGAGATGAGGGTATCTGGGGCAACGCGGGTGGTTGTCAGCACGATGTCAGCAGAGGGGCAGCACCACAGCCCAGGGCAGCGCACGGCCATCACCGCGTTTCCAAAGCTGTGCGAAGGCAGGAGGGTCAGTGCGTTATTGGGGTGCTGCTCTGCAATGCATAGGCCCAGGAATTAGGGACTGGCTCTTCCCTCTAGAGTAGCAGTGGACTCTCCTGAGCATCTCATTAGGAGCCCAGTGTTAGCAGCTCATTTGCATGTGCCCTAGAAACAAAACGGAGCACCTCACTACTTCGCAGTACAGAGCCAGTGGCACTCAAACTCCTTCACTGCCCCCCAAAAGAAACCAAGAAAAGATGGAAGTTTTTGCTCCCGCTGCCTTGGCCATATTCCTACGTGGATGAGTGCATCCCGCAGACATGGCTGGGTCCCTCTCCCACCCATGCTTATTGCCCTGCGCTCACCAGAGGCAGCCAGGCCGTGGCACAGGGAGCAGCGCAGATGAGCATGGCAAAGCAAGTGACCTTCCACGCCTCAGTTCACTCACGGGTAACCCTGGACTGATGCTGCTTTTGAAGTCAGTGATTATCATAAAGTGCTCTGAAACTTGAGCAGAGGCTTTAGAAAGCCAGAGAAGGAATATCACCTGCATGCGTTTACAGATGTGCGGAAGCAGCATGGTTGAAGAGATAGATCACAGAGATCATCCCAATCAAAACACCCCTGCTCGTCTCCAGCAGGTCCACAGACCTACTGGAACAGCCGCGAGCTCCAGAGCAGCTGGTCCAGAGCATGGGAGGAAGGCAGGGACAGTCACGGCTCCAGATGAGCCATTTCACCTGGTCACCATACTGCCTTCCAGTGACCAAAATCTCTTTTTGCTGGAGTAACAATGTCTGTATCAGCACATCAGGATTTGCGCGTGGGTGCAGCTGCCCCGGCTGTCCCCAGGAGTGACCGCTGGTTTTGGGACAAGCCTTTTAACCCACGGTTAAGACCCTTTGTCTGTTGAATTTTCTTTTTTCTTTCTACCTGCGCCTTGCAGACTCTGACTCTGCTGACTCCCCGAGCACCTCCTCTGCCCTCACCTCCCTGCAATGGGTTGCAGAGATACTCCCCTCTAGCATCAAGATTCAAGGAAGGACCTTCAACCAGCAGCTGGAGCACCTGCTGACTCCACCTGAGCGCTATACCATCTGCAAAGCGCTGGAAGGCTTCTTCCAACATCGGTAACTTGTTAGCAGCTCTGTTCCTCTAATGCTGGTACCTGGCCTGGTAGCAATGCCCATGTCAGAGTCGGTCTCCAAGCAGAAGGCAGACCTCGGCTGCGAGGCTGTCAGCACTGAGCTCCGCTGTGATCGTGGTCTCTGGTTTCCCCAGCTGTGTATGTCCCTGTGCGTGTCTGCAGGGCACAAGCCCATCTCTCACCAGGTGTCCTGCCCAAGGACGGGGCAGACCCATTAGCTTTTGAGGTAACTCGGTCACTCCTTAACCCCATATAAACAGCCTCAGTCCCCCACGGCGTGGGCTCTCTTGCTGTCTGGCCATCCCCGACAGCCACAGATCCTGTTTCACCTCTTTCAGTAAATCTCGCCACGTTTCATCCTTGTCTTCTCACTCTTCTCAGCATCTTGGCTGCAGCACTCCCTTGGTGGCAGCACAGGAACGGCTGTGGCTGGCAGAGCCCTCATCCTGCAGCGGAGCACATCCTCCCTGCCCTGCTGCAAGAGTCGAAGCCGATCCCCTGGCAGACGCGAGGCTTTCAGTAGTGACCTTGTTTTCTGCCCTTGATCTCTAACCTTTCCGCACCATGCTGAATAAGCTATCCCTCTGGACACTGGGAGATGCTTGCTGCCTCTTCCCGCAGCTGCTGAGCCAACCGAGCCAGGCTGCCCGGCTGCTCCTCAGGAGCCCGGGTCCCACAGGGGCTCTGGATGCACTGGCCAAGGCCAGGCAGGCTCCCACTGCCGCAGTGCAGCAATCTGCTGGTGTAAAGATCAAAGAATCAGGATTGGAATCCTCAGTTTGACAAGGAAATGCAGTAAAGCCCTCAGTATTTAGGTTACTGATGGTAAGAGAGAATAGAAGCTACCAAGTACAATGCCACGGCACTGTCCCTGTGCACCACGGCTCAGGCTGAGGGCTGCACCACCCCGCAGCATCCCCCTGCCCACGGGGAGGCTGGGCTGCCTCTCTACCTGCAGGTGCCGGGGGAGATACAGCTGTATAAGCCTCCCAGCACCAGCTGAGTGAACCTTCTTGAGGCCCCGTGATCACTAAGGCTGCCCCGGTAAAGCAGAAGTCATTGCTTTGTGCTCTCCTGAGACTGCGCTGCTTCTATGGGATTCCCCAGTTGGGCTTTTCAGCCCGAGGAGCGGCAGCTGTGGGAGCAGATCCAGTCCTTGGGGTCTGCAACTGGGAAAGACAGACCCGATCCTAGCGGGGTACTTGCTCTTGCTCAGTGGCACACGGGTGGGAACCCACGTACCACGAAACAAGTCCCCAGGTTCCCCTCCCAGCCCGGGGCTGCCCACATCGCTTGGTCTTCCAGTAGTGTTTTACTGGGGGCTGTCGCTGCCGCCCACTGCGGGGAGCAAGGCTCAGCAGGGGCACCGGTGTGCCCATCCTCTCCTCCAGCCACCTCATTTTGCCTGTAGCTGCCCCAGATGGCTCGACACAGAGGCCACTGCTCCATTTAACAATAATTCATCATGACCTAATTGCATGCCCGTCCCAGACAAGCCAGCTGTGACCTCTAACTGCTCCAACAAGGAGGGAAGTCCCCAAACATTAAGTTTATGCTGCTTGCCACCACAGCATGTGGATATCAGCGTTTACCAGCAGCAAACACAGGTGATGGAGTCAGGACACCCCTGTTCTGGGCTTTGGTCCCCCAGCCAGTTTGCACATGACAAGCCAGCTGGCCCTGGCCACCAGCCGGGAGGAGCAGTGCCTGCGCAGGGCAGAGCAGCCACCTGCCTCAGCAGCTCCTCCACAAGACTTTAACTTTTCTGAATGGGAAATAGGCTTCTGACAGCCAAGAGCTGCGTCCGGCTCCACAGAAGAGGCAAGTTAGCCCAAAACTAGGGAGAAACTTAGCAGGTGACTTCTGGCAGGCTCTAGATGGCTCCTACCGCTTCTCATCCCCACTGGCCTCTGAGACACTTCATTAATGAAGTCCTTGCATCTGAGCCTCTCTCACCCTTCAGCTCTCCCCTGTGTGCCTGGTCCCTGCCCCTTGGAAGGCAGTGATGGTCCATTTGATTAACATCAAGACAACAGACTTGTTCCTACACATGCCATCTCCTTCCAGCTCTTTATAAGGAGTTCTTACTATTACTTCTACATTAAGGATGCAATAGTTGCAATGAGCTTTAACCCATCATCTCTGCCTCAGTTTCTCAGTAGAAAAGCAGCCTGACTTTAGCCCTCTGACCCAGGACAGCCCTCCTCCCCCAGACTGCTTCATCTTCCTCACTGAACCAGGTGCTCAGCCCTGCTAGTCTCAACAGCGCTTTCACTGTATCGACACACCGCAGAGCCAACCCGAGACGGAGCCTTCAGCCCAGCGAGGCTGCCAGCCCAGCTGTCCCTTCTAATCCATCTCTACTTTAGCCTGCTTACCTGCTGCTGGCCAAAATTCAGGTCTTTCCAGGATATGTCTCTGCTTCCTGGTGCTCCTCCACCCCAGACACCCTGGCTGACTCACGAACCAGGTTTTATACCTGGCTGTCAGGTGCTGCCAGTCCCCGGGAGTTTGCTTTCCCCATTAGCACCAGCTGCACAACTCCACTTCCCAAAGGGCTCGGTCCCTTACTCGCAGCCTGGCACCTCTGCTTTGAAATAATCTGTTTGTGCCAAAGACAGAGGCAAGCCTGGCAGCTGAGACCCAGGTGGAGGCAGGCTGGGAAGCGCCGGAGCCCAGGGAAGCAGCGTGGTGGGGCTGTGCCGTAGGGATGCGCTCCCTGCCCAGCCCTCTCTTTCCGATTTTGCAGGAATATTGACACTCTCATTGTGGATGTGTACCCGTTGCTGGACACACCGGCCAAGCAAGTCATTTGGCAGTTTATCTACCAGCTGCTGACGTATGAAGAGCAGGAGCACTGCCAGCAAAAGATTGCCAGGTTTCTTGGTTACAAGTCCTTGGCAGGTGAGAGGAAAGCCCCTGCGCTCCGGCACGGACACGCCGGGTCCCACCGGGTCCCCGGGGACCTCGGTCCGTCGTGCTGGGAGCAGGCTGGGGCGGTGAGGGAGCGGCCGGCTCTCCCCGGGGGCAGGGGCTGGGGGGTCCGCCCCGCCTGGTTCCCG